CTCTCTCTCTTCCTTCCTTCCTTCCTTCCTTCCTTCCTTCCTTCCTTCCTTCCTTCCTTCCTTCCTTTCTTTCTCCTCCTCCTCCTGTTTGTTTTTTGAGACAGGGTTTCTCTGTGTGATATGCCTGGCTGTCCTGGAACTTGCTCTGTAGACCAGGTTGGCCTTGAACTCACAGAAATCTGCTTCCCTCTGCCTCTCGAGTGCTGGAATTAAAGGTGTTCGCACCATGCCTGACTCTAAAACAATTTCTTAATTAGTGATTGATGGGGGAGGGCCCAGACCATTGTGAATGGGGACATCTGTGGGCTGGTGGTCCTGGGTTCTATAAGAAAGCAGGCTGTGTTTTTTCTTTATGGTTCTTATTTGTTCTTTTGCAGAACTGCCAGCTTAAGTCATGCTGGGATCAAGAAAAAATGGGCCTTGGCGATTCGTGTTCCTGGAGTTGTATCCATGCCAGTGGATGCCCACACGCTCCAGAAGAGAACTTAACATTGCTGCTGCTGTTGTTGCTGTTATAGCAATGGTGGCCACCGCTGCTACTGTTTCTGGGATTACCATTTCATAATTGCTTACTACTGCAAGCACAGTGGAGACCCTGGCAGCAAAAGTAGCTACTACAGTTAGTTAATCTTTCATTCTATTGGGCATGATAAATTTAATTTAATAGTTATATACATTTCAATTGGCTTTGAAAATTATAAATTTATAAACTCAAGTTCCAGTTGCTTTTGGGATACCACCTTACAAGGACTCCAATTTGCAGTAAGGCTCGTTAAGGAGGGGAATGGCTCAGTTGCCTTTAGCCTACTGGCTATGGGTGAGATAGGACCTCTGTTGGTCTTTTCTGTTATCAAACACACAGATTGCAAGCCCAGTGCCACTTTGAGATCTTTGGCAGCAGTTAACTCTGCAGCTCACACAGGATTGAGCCTGTATGATAATGAGTATTCAGAGACGGGTAATACCCGGGGGCGCTCACCAACCTAAGACAGAGCGCCTGTGTGGCCTGGGCAGGCGTCTCCATGACAGGTAAGGTGACCTGCTGACGTCCCCTGCAACCCAAGTCAGAAGCTCATGTTTTAGTAAAAGGGGGACCTGTAGGGTCCTGGTCCCCATTTTGGGTAACTGTTGCCTTGCTTGCTGACCTTGACCTTGATATCCTCCCTATGCTAATTCCCTGCCAGGTTCCACCCTCCTGAATGCTTAAGGGATGTTCCTTGTCTGTGTATCCTGCATAATGGGCGTTAACAGCTTAGATGCAAGATTGTAAAACATCGGGAGTGAACTTCTGCCCTCTGGGGTTCTCCCATTGTGCTGTAAGCCTGTATTTAAGACCTCCTCCCTCCTTCAATAAATGGCATTTGACATTAAATAAATAAAAAAAGAAAAAGAAAAAAGAAAAAAAAAACCCAGGTTTAATGGGTAAAATGCTCCCGGATGATTTTTCCACACCCCTCTCCCCCAGAGAGAAGACAGGGAAGAGAGACCTAAAAAACCAAGTGTCTTCTCTGGAGGGCAGTTTAAATACCCTGTGGGAGTGGTCTTGAGCAGGGTTTGGGGATAGAGAGATGGGGGAGGGGGATTGAGGTGGAGGTTCCATCAGAATAATCCAGACTCTTTGGGCATATGGACGGAGGGTGCGGGGTGCTGCTGAGGTGGAGCGCTTCCACCAGAACATACATGAAACCTGAAATTTACTATCTTAACCATTTTGTCTTTTTGTTGTGGTTTTTATTTTGTTTTTTTATTTTATTTGATTTGATTTTGAAACAAGGTCACACTATAACCCTGGCCAGCCTGAAACTCATTATCTATGTACACCTGGCTTGCTTAAAACTCACAAAGATTAAAGGCTGTTGTATACCACCATAAAAAAAAGAAAGAAAGCAGGCTGAGTAGGCCATGAGAAGCAAACCTGTGAGCAGCATCCTCCACAGCCTCTGCATCAGCCCCTGCCTCCAGGTTCCTGCCCTGCTTGAGTTCCTGCCCTCACTGCTTTTGATGATGAACTGTTGTATGGAACTGTGAGTGAAATAAACTTTCCTTCCCAAGTTGCTTTGATCATGGTGTTTCATCATAGTAATAGTAACCCTAACAAAGGCATCCTGTCTCAAAAAAGTAAAAACAGCAAAACACAACAAAAACAAAAATAAATGTGTCAGATAAATGAATTTATTTTTTTCTCTATCCCAAATAGAAAAATATTACAGCTCAACTTGGGTGAAGGGTCTGCTTGCACTATAGGCAAATGTTCCATCATTGACTTACACCAGCAGCCCGATGATATGAAGGATTCATTTTTTTTTTGTTGTTGTTGTTTGTTTTTTTCGTGACAGGGTTTCTCTGTGTAGCTTTGCGCCTTTCCTGGATCTCACTCTGTACACCAGGCTGCCCTCGAACTCACAAAGATCCGCCTGGCTCTGCTTCCTGAATACTGGGATTAAAGGCGCAATTTTTAAAAAAAAAATTATTTTTATTTATGTATTTAATTTTTCGAGACAGAGTTTTTCTGTATAGCCCTGGCTGTCTTGGAATTTGCTCTGGAGACCAGGCTGGCCTCGAACTCAGAGACCTGCCTGCCTCTGCCTCCTGAGTTCTTCGATTAAAGGAGTGTGTCCGGCTTTAAAAGTTTTTTGGGCCAGGGATTCGCTATGCAGTCCCAGCTAGCTCTGAACTTGCAGTTATCCCCCGGCAGCAGCCTCCCTGACCTGAGGCTGGTTTTTGTCAGCTGGCAGAAGTCGGGTCCAAGGACGTAGGGACGGCTTGCGGAGAACCAACAACCGACCTGCTCTAATGTCATCTGGCAATGGCGCTGTTGGTTAGGGTTTAGTAAATGGTTTGAATAGAAAATCCGTAAACGACTAAATCAGCCCGAAATAAAGACAGTGTTAGGAAGAAGTGGAGGGCGGCGTCTTCCAGGTATGGACTGCGTGAGATGTGCGGAGCACATTCTGGGCGCAGCACCGAGGGACCCGCGTCGGGGCAAACGGCGCCCGCCCAGGAGCCTGGCGCCCCCCAACCCCAACTCCCCGGCCTCCGCCGCCTCCCGCACAGGCGCACAACGCGACCGCAGCTGTGGCCCCGCCCCTAGAGCCCGGGCGGGAGGCGGGGCCTCTGCGTCATCTCCATGCGCATTCTCACCGTGCTCCGAGCAGGTGGCGCGGGTTAAGGCCGTCACGATCATTGACAGCGTGAGGCCGGTGTGGCTGCTATTGCTATGGTGGCTGGCGGCCGGGTAAGGGTCTGAGTTGGTCTCCTGCGGGGCCAGAGCGGCTTCGGGGGCGCCGGGAGGCCGAGAGTGTGCAGCGGGCTGCGAGGCTGCCGCGTGCAGTGCAGCGGGAGGCCAGGGGCGCGCTGGAGCAGAGCGGCTGCCCCCTGGCTGGGCGTCTGTCTGTGCCAGGGAGCTGCGGCATCGGAGGGGCCAGGCATGGGTGAAGCTGTGGGCAACGGGGCCTGCCTCCCGGGTGGAAGACCAGGCTAATGACTCTCTCCCTCTCGGTTCGCTCCCGGTTTTGATTTGTTTTTTCTTTTTTACTCGGGCTGCAGGTGCACTATGTCTAGACTGTCGGCCCTAGGCGGCTCCCGCGCCGGGTTGGGACTGTTACTTGGTACTGCCGCCGGCCTTGGATTCCTGTGCGTCCTTTATAGCCAGCGATGGAAACGGGCCCAGCGCCATGGCCGGAGCCACAGTCTGCCCAATTCCCTGGACTATGCGCAGGCTTCAGAGAGCGGACGCCAGGGTATGAGCACAGGTCATTACTTACTGATGACCCCGGGGATCGGGCTGTCTTTGGCAGGGCAGGTGAACTGGCCCGTTGGAAGAGCTGAGTTTCACTCTTTTAGGAGAACGTATCGAAAAGGACAGCTGCCCTCTTTCCTCTGATTCCAGGAAAGCTTAGTGCAAGAAGACTGTGTACCTTTCACTTTTAGTTCTGGTCACGCTCATGAATGTGTACTAAGGCATTTGCGTAGTGTTGGGTGAGGGGTGTGATAGACAGGAAGAGTCTGAAAGAAAGAGAAAGGAATAATCTTGTAGGAATTAAACGCTCTGATAGTTTGACTAGCAAATTATGTATTCAAATGTGAAGGGCATTTGGAGAGTAATCAATCCAAGTTTTAAAAATCCTTTTCATGAAGGAAAATTCAGAGGGATTGTGTAACTTTCCCAAGCTTGTTACAGAGTAAGTGGTAAAACTGGACCTGGTCATCTGGTTCAGTGTTCTTTCCACAACATGGGCTGAGAGCACACTCATGCAACCGGAGCCCCGTGGCCGAAAGCCAGCAGTAACAGGTGAAATGTGTTTCATTTCATAAAAACCCTTTAGGTTAACTCATTGAGCAAAGCATTTAGGGCTTGGATCTCTCCCTCTTATTTGGACAATAGAAGCTTGCTTAGGTCTTCTCATTTCATGTTGACTGAAAATGTTTTCTCGGACGACCAGTGTAGTCAGATATCCTCTTAACTCTGTGCTAACTGGAAATGTTAGTTCTGCAAGAGTGTTCCCAGACTTATCACCCTAGATTGCAGCTGTCAGCATTTGATAACATGGTGGCAACGTGGCATGGCCAGTGTCCCGTCTTTCTGCCCTTCCCTTGTCCTTTGCCCGTTTGTAATTTTTCAGTCGGGGTCTGTTCTCCCCTGAGGTTGGGAGAAAGCAGACACATTCTAGGTATAGTCCTGAGCACTGCTGGCCTAGGTTGCTCCTAGATTTCCTTTAACAAGGGGTCTATGTGTGTCTGCTCCGTGGGCCCTCCTTGAGTTCTCCCCTTGTGCATATTCCAATCCAGCTGCTTTAAATGGCTACCAAGTTCTGAAATTTCACTGAGCTCAGTTCAGGGTGAGCAGGTTGAGCTTGGCAATAATCTTTTTCTCATGGAGTTTGGCCAGTGTTTTTCCATGGACCTTTTCTTTGTGACTGCCCATTTTTTCTTTTTGCTCCTCTCTGATGACACTCATGGCCTGAAGAGAGGCAGTTTATTATTCGTTGTGAGATCAGGATTTGAACAAACCCAATTTTTGTTTTACTGTGTAATTAGTATTGACTGCCTGGTATTTGGCACTATAAAGCCAGAGACATTTTTTTCTTTTTGTATTTTTGAGACAGGGCTTCACATAGCTCAGGCTCGTGTCAAACACTCTGTAGCTGAGGCTGGTCTTGAACTCCTGATCCTCTTGTCTCTACCTCTGAAGTGCAGCCACTCCTGCCAAAGGTCCTTCTTTGATAAGAGAACAGCTGTCCTGCCTTCTGAGGACCACACCCTTGCCGGCATTTTACATGAGCTGCTGTGTTTTGAAGGTTCTTTGAGCAGATAGCCTTTCTTTAGAGATCAGGGACTTAAAGGCCGTGTGTGTGTGTGTGTGTGTGTGTGTGTGTGTGTGTGTGTGTGTGCATGCATGTATGCACGCACACCGATGTGTCTTGCGGGGTGGGCACGCCGAGGTGGAGGTCATAGGACTACTTGCAGGAGTGATTCCCTTCCTTACCATGGGGGACTGGGGCACTGAACTTAGGTCATCAGCTTGAGCAGCAAGTGCTCTTATCCGTGAGTCATCTTGTTGGTCCAGACATTTATGTTTTCTTTCTGTTTTTTTCTGGATAGTGACTTGGAACTTGTACTGTCTTAGCTGTGGAATGTGCATTCTCAGAGGCTCAATTTCTTCTCTGTAAATTGAACTCCAGGAGAAGCAAGTGACCCAGCATAGTGTTGCATACCTTTAAACTCAGAGCTTGGGAGGCAGAGGCAGGTAGATCTCTGCCTGGTCTGTCTACATAGCAAGTTCCAGGACAGCGGGGGCTACATAGACGCTGTCTAAAAACAGAACAAGAGAAGCAAATGCTCTAGAATCCTAGGTTTGAGGGTTTATTTATCTATTTTTGTTGTCCCCCCCCCCCACTGTATCCCATGGGTGACTCTGTCTTCTGTTCCCCTTGCTTCAGGGATGCAGTTGCGGGCCGTCCCAGGGGAAGCTGGCGATGCCGCGGTGCTGCCCAGCCTCCCACAGGAAGGACAGGAGAAGGTGCTGGACCGCCTGGACTTTGTGCTGACCAGTCTGGCGGCGCTGCGGCGGGAGGTAGAGGAGCTTCGGAGCAGCCTGCAAGGGCTGGCCGGGGAGATTGTTGGGGAGGTCCGGTGAGTGACCTGGTCTCTCTTGCTTTGCCCAATCCCTCAACTTGTCCTGGCTCCTACAGCTTTTTCAGCTGGAGTGTGTTCTGCCTTTTTCTGGTCTCTCTAAGGAACAATGTTGCACGAATCCTAAATGGTCTTATAATAAAAACCTGGAGCCAGATATCAGGGTGAAAACTGAAAGATCAGAGAAGCAGAGCAAGCCACAGCCACCACCTCTTACCTCACCAACTCCTCAGCCCGAAAGAGCCTCTCCAAGAGTTCCTGTCTCCTCCTGCCTTATATTCCTTTCTCTGCCCAGCCATATCGCTTCCTGTTTCAGCCTTCCTAGTGCCGGGATTAAAGGTGTGTGTGCCCAGGTGCTGGAATTAAAGATGTGTACCACCACTACCTGACCTCTGTGGCTAACTCTGTGGCTGGCTCTGTCCTCTGATCTTCAGGCAAGCTTTAGTTCTTAGATTACAAATATATCAGCACAGAACAAGCCCATTTTATAGTTGCTAACCCAGTGTGGAAGAAGCTGCGGATCTGGTTCCTTCCTTTTCCCAAGAGCCTGGCTGCCCTTGTGCCCTTTGGCTCCTGCCGCAGCCTCGCCCTCTTTGTTCCTCCCGATTTAGTCCGCCAAACAGCCGCCCTGCTCTCCTGAGAGCACAGACCCAGAACTTTCTCCTTCCTTGGTCCTTGACTGGGGGAGGAGTGAGGGAGAGACAGGCTGCGTGGGTCCTAACGTGCCCTCTGGGATATGCCCCGCTTTCCAGATCTCACCTAGAAGAGAACCAGAGAGTGGCCCGGCGCCGCCGCTTCCCTTTCGCCAGGGAGCGGAGCGACTCCACAGGCTCCAGCTCCGTCTACTTCACCGCCTCCTCGGGGGCCGCGCTCACAGACGCCGAGAGCGAAGGAGGGTGAGTTGGCTCCTGGAGGCTGTGAGTGCAGCTGCATCGTCCTCGTCACAATGCCAGTTATCCAAATCCAAACCAAGGTGCCCTAAGTCATCTTTGAATAAAAGTCGGGGTATGACTGAGTGGAGACAACTTCCCGGTTGATGCCATCCAGACAAATAGCAATGCTAGCAGTTGTTATTTCTCTGAGTTGACTTCTTTTATATTATTTTAAAAAATACAGTTTATTTTATGTATATATTTTTCCTCTATGCATATAAGTGCATTGCTTGTACGCCCGAGGCTTGCAGAGGTCAGAAGAGGGCACTAGATTCTTCTAGAACCAGAGTTACAAATGGTTGTAAGCAGCCACATGTGTCCTGGGAACCGAACTTGGGTCCTCTGCAAGATTAGCAAGTGCTCTTACTTGCTAAGCAATCTCCCCAGCCTAGGGCTTCTTTCTTTTTCCATCATTTTTCTGGGCATTCTTGTGTGTTATCACAAGGGCTTGCTGAGCATTATTTTATAACTTCATTCTTTCCTTGAGTGGCTGAGCAGGCTGTGCCCAGTCTGGGAGCCTGTCATGTACGCCCCTCCCCAGGCCCCCACTCTCCTCCCGGCGGAGTCTGGTCCATGCTCTCTTGCATCCGTACAGTGGGGAGGTGACTCTTGAGCGCTCAGCAGATTTACCATGAGGCGAGGTTATAGGATTTACCATGAGGCGAGACCGCAGCGGGCAGGACAGTCTCTTTCAAGCTTGGTGGAGGGAAGGACTTTTTCATTTTAAGCCACAGCTCCGCTCTGAAACTTTGGTCCGAGGACAGTCTGACGCTGTTGGTGGCGGCATTTACCCCATGTGCCGCTGGTGCCGGTCACCCAGCTGGTCTTCAGACTTAGAGGCTGATTTTTCTCCTGGGTGGCCTCTGTTGACCTTTGTTCCTCCTCAGGGAATAGACTGGGTCAGAGAACAGCCAAACTTCTGTCAGGCCAGAGTGGCTGAGCTAACTAGAACAAGCCCATGGCAGCTAGAAGTTAAAATCAGCCATTCGGGATACTCCGGAGCAGATCCGTCCTTTAGCAGGCACACCTTGTAACACCAGGTGCCATTCATTTTCTTCCTCTGATGTTGTCTAAGCACCTGAGTGTGTTCTCCCACTTAATCCTCATGATAATCCTGTGGCCCAGGTTCGGTTTCTCAGATGGAGAACTTGAGCTGACTGAGGTTTGACACTCAGACCGGGGTTCTACAAGTGCCAAGGGCAGACTTAGTGTGTCTCCTGCTAATCCCTCGTCCTGACCATCTGGTTTATCTGCAGCCGTGTTGGAGTCCATGACCTGAGGAGTGATTGGTCTTCAGGGCACATAGGGCTACCATTAGCACATATGTGGCCTGTAGCCCTTGGGAGTTCTTCCCATTGACTGAGATGCCACAGCTCAGTGCCCAGGAAGGGCCCGAGGTGCAGCAGTGGTTCCTCTTTCTTCAGTCTTGTTTGTGTAGGAGGCTGTCATTTTCTCCTGCTTCTTCCTAGTCTTCTTTTCACGCTGGGTGGGAATCGACCCCAGGACCTCTGTGTGCCAAGCACATGCTCTGCCATGGGGTTGCATGCCTAGTCCCTCATTTGGTTTTCCTACAAAAATTAAGAATAAAATTACTGTCCTTTTTCATGTTCCTGCCATTGGTATTTAATGGCAGGTTTTGGTTTTGGTTTTTCAAAACAGGGTTTCCCTGTGTAACTCTGGCTGTCCTGGAACTCGCTCAGTAGATGACCCTGTTGTATGTAGCCCAGGCTGGCCTCGAACTCACAGAGATCCGCCTGCCTCTGCTTCCCAAGTTCTGGGATTAAAGGTGTGCGCCACCACCGCCCAGCAGAACTAGTTTTTTCAGTGTCCCCAACAGTGTTCTGTCAGGAGATTCTTCCTTAGACTATGTTAGAGGCAGGAACAGAGATAACCTACATTTAGGTTGCATCTAAAGAACTGACTGCGATTAAGGAGCCTCTCTGTGAAACCTGACGAACTAGGTCACTTGAATGGGAGACGATGGTGGAGCGTTTTCATGTGTATGGTCTCTGTATATGTGTGTCTGGAGGCTAGAGAGGACTAAGGATGTTCTGTTATGAGTCTTCACTTTACCCTCCAGACAGGTCTCCCACTGACCTGGGGCTAGGCTAGTGGCTAGTTAGCCTGGCGAGCTTCCTGTCTCTGCCCCCGGAGCACTGGCACACTGCCTTACAGGTGCACAAGCATCATCTGGCTCCTGGGGATTTGAACTGAGGTCCTCATGACTGCGCAGCAAGCCCTCTTCTCAGTTGAGCCTTCCTCAGCTCTGTGGAGCCTCTTTTGAGGGATTGGTATTGTTTATGTGTATGCATTTGTGGCTGTGTAAATGTATATGCTCCACATGTATGCAAGAGCCTGCGTAGATCAGAAAGGGGGCACTGGATCCACTGGACTGGAGTTAGCTGCTGTGTGGGTGCTGGGAATCGAACCAAGATCAGCAAGAGCAGGTAAGAGTTCTTAACTGCTGAGCTGTCTCTCCAGCTGCGTGAGCTTCATTTTTCAAAAAGATTTCATGTGTATGAATGTTTTGTTTGTGTGTATTTAGGTATTCATGTATACCGTTTGTGTGCCTGGTGCCTGAGGAGGGCATAAGACCTCCTTGACAGAGGTTAATGGATGGTTGGGAGCCATCTTATTGGTGCTGGGAACCAAGCCCAGGTTTTCTGCAAGTACTCTTAACCACTGACTGAGCCTTCTGTCTAGTCCCTGGTTGACCTTTCTAAGAGTGAAGAACAGGTCGGGCAGTGGTGGTGCACACCTTTAATCCCAGCACTCAGGAGTCAGGCGCGTGAAGCTCTGAGTTCGAGGCCAGCCTGGTCTACAGAGTGAGTTCCAGGATAGCCAGAGCTACACCGTGAAACCCTGAAGAACAGGAGGAGAGATTTTCTCAAGCTAAAAGTGTAAAACTCAGACTGTTCATAATTATTTGTTTGCTTCTATTTCTTTATTTTTATTTTTTTTGAGATCGGGTTTCTTTGTGTAGCCTTGGCTGTCCCAGGACTCACAGAGATCCACCTGCCTCTGCATCCTGAGTGTTGGGATTAAAGGCGTGCGCCACCGCCCGGCTCACTTTTATTGTTTTTTAAAGAAAAGTTTAGCATAGAAGAAAGACTGGGTGGTGACAAGGACACCAAAGCCCTGTTTGCCTGATGATTTAAAGAAATCATCCAGGCTGTGGCTCAGCCAAGTAGGGTAGTACTCTCGGCAGCTGAGCACTCAGGAGGTCGATGGTTGGAAGTTCAAAGCCAGCCTAGAGTTAGAGGAGTAAGTTTGAGCCTAGCCTAGACTACTTCATAAGACCCTGTGTCTTCAAAAGTGACATAAACAAGTTCATCTCCTGGTTTCAGTGGGCCAGAGTGGGTGCCTTACTGCATGGGTGCTCACTGGAGCATCCATGGCCACAGGAGCAGGGTAGGTCAGCAGAGGGATAGATGCCTTTCTTAATTACAGCTGCACTAGGTTCAGCCCATGCCTGATCCTGTGGCATGGGAAAGCTGCTGGTGGTGCAAGACTCTGGCTTAGCTGGCTGCTATCTGGGGCAGTGGCCATGGGGAATCATGTTTTCATCACAGTAGATGCCATATAGGTCAAGGGGAGATTCTGGGAGGAGGTCATAAACTCTGAAATGGCTTTAAGCATGTGTACCTTAGGGAGGAAAGATCTTTGAGGGATGATTCGATAGGCTATTCCATTGAGAGCTGATCCCCCCCACACACACACCCACCCCACGCACACACCATCCCTGTCCCCACCAGCCCTCGGCCCATGATGACTTCACTAGAATCTCCCCATGCCTGCTTCAGACCAAGCCTGTCACATGTGCTGGTTGCTCACTGGCCTAAGACAGGCCATCTTCTGCTTCTTGCTCCATGCCTTTGCTTATTCTGTTTGTTTGTTTTGCTTTTGCAAGACAGGGTTTCTCTGTTATGGATCTTTGTAGGCCAGGCTGGCCTCAAACTCAGAGATCTGTCTGCCTCTGCCTCCCAAGTCCTGGGATTAAAGGCGTGTGCCACCACCGTCCAGCTGCAGTCTTTCTAAAATTTATTTATGGGGCTGGAGAGATGGCTCAGCGGTTAAGAACACTGGCTGCTCTTCCAGAGCACCCGGGTTCAATTCCCAGCACCCACATGGCAGCTAACAACTCTCTGTCACTCCAGGATTTGACACCCTCACACAGACAAACATACAGGCAAAAACAACAATGCACATAAAATAAAAGTTAAAAAAATTTACTTATTTTACAAACTTTACATTTATTTAATTTCTTGTGTGCGTGCATGCACAAGTGTGTGCCACAGTTGCATGGGTAATCAGAGGACAACTTTCAGTAATTGGTTCTCTCCTTTCTTTTCTTTTTCTTTTTTTTCTTTTTGGTTTTTTGAGACAGGGTTTCTCTGTGTAGCTTTGGAGCCTGGCCTCGAACTCACAGAGACCCGCCTGTCTCTGCCTCCCGAGTGCTGGGATTAAAGGCGTGCGCCACCACTGCCCGGCTGGTTCTCTCCTTTCATCATGTGGGTTCTGAAGCTCACACTCAGGTCATCAGGCTTGGTAACATGTGCCTTTACTTGCCAAACTGTCTCACCTACCCCGTATTCCTCCTTCCAAATAAACAAATTTGAGCTTCAGCTGTCGACCGCAGTGGCAGAAGCAGAATCATTGTGCAGGTTTGTGCGTGTATTCCCTGGGCATTGTCCCAAACATGGCTTGATATTTTCCTCAAAACATGCCTTTAAATACAGCCTCCCAGGCGCCCCAGCCAAGCATTTGCGTCTCTCTTTCCTCCTTGAGCACTGAACCTCTGTTACTTCAGGTCTTCTGTGGCTTATCTCTACTACAGAGATCCTCCTAGGCTTAGGACACAAGACTGGCCATGTCTCAGTGTCCCAGGCTCAGCTCTGTACTGGGAACTAGGAGGTCAAAGGAAATAGTCAGCAGCAGGAATAGACGGTGGGAAACTGAATTGTTAATTTCTAATTCATCAGCCCTCTGTGCAGAACAGCGCGGGGTAGCTTAGTCTCCTGCACACTGTGGGAACTCTGTGTATCTCTTGAGTACTGATCTCAAAAGCCTTGGGGCATGGCAACCAGATGAAATCCTCTGGTAGATTTCCACAAGGGTTGGAGGTAGAAGGTAAGGGAATGCTGTAAGTAGAGTAACCCTGGCACTTAGCAAATCTCTTTTCAGGCCCTAAGAAGCCATGGATTGTTGCCATGATGTGAGGCTCGGCTTGGTGTGACAGAACTTGAGGTGGAGCTGAGGTACAAAGCTCTCCGCTGGCCTCCTGCTTCATGGGGCCCTATTAGCTCTTACTGTGGTGGCATCAAGGCCCGTCTCACCTCTGCAGCTCCTTGGGATGTGAGTTCTGGCCTTCAAGGCCCAGGGAAAAGGCAGCAGAACCAGAGCAGTACCCCAGGAGTGCTGGACACACAGTCTCCCTTCTCTAGCAAAGAGAACCACTAGGATTTCAAGTTCCACACCAGTTAAATTTCTTACCCATTTTACTTTGGCCCTGGCTTAATCCTCTCCTCTGGGCAGGTTATTGCCCAGGCTCTTTAGGAGTGGTTCTAGCTTGCCCTTGTGTGGTCTCTCATTCATCAGTACTCAGATTGGTTATAAAGTCTGACACTTTCCCTTGTTCTTTTCACCTCTGAGTTCGTACTGCAAACTGCTAGAAGGGAAGGATATGAGGCTGATCTTTAGATGTCACGCTGTCTGACCCCATCTGACAGGGGTGGCCTTGGCTGCCCTGGAACTCGCTATGCAGACCAGACTTGGTCTCGAACTCAGAGATCCACCTGCCTCTGCCTCCCAAGTGCTGGGATTAAGGTGTGTACCACCACTGCCCGGATATTTTTTTTAAAGACAGGATCTCTTACTGGCCACAAGGGTAGACTAGCCAGCCAATGAGTCCTAGGATTTAAGGCATGAGCCACTGCTGCCGGGCGTCCTGTGGGTTCTTTAGTTGATGCTCTTGTTTTCAAATAGAACAGAAGCTGCTCTGAACAGCAGCAATCAACTGTTTAGACTGGAGCACCAACTCTGCTCACTCACTTGGTGCCTTCTGGACCTCACCCGAGTGGCTTTATAGATGACTGCGCTTTTGTCTACAGCATTCAGCCAGATGTTAGGCTGTCTCATATGGGCAGAGACTGTTGTTTGTTTTCCGTTGGCCACAGGGAGCCTGCCTCTGTTCTTCCCTCCAGGGAGGAAGAAGGTTTGCTCCCAGATGAAATGTAGAATCTTCCCTGTGCTTCTGGAGGGCTCTCTGGTGTCTGTTTCTGGCCCCTGGAAATCCCACTGTGTCCCAGGCCCATTTCTTGTCTGATTTAACTAGCAGTTAGGGAAGCACCCTCATCAGCTGCTGGTGGACAGAAAGCCAAGACACTGGGCTCCCTCTGTAGTGTTGGCTCGTAGAAGTCACCCGGCTTATACAGCCCCAGAGACATTGTCCTGTAGGGATTGTTGGCAGCTGGGGGTGACCTCTGACACCCTTCCACATTCCCATGCGGCTGCTACTGTCAGTGAGGTTTGGTTGACTTGGTCACAGGTACAAGTTTGAGAAAGAGATTGAGAAATGCGTGGCAGTTGCTCATGCCTCAGAGGCTGGCACCCACTCAGGTAAGGTTCTGGCAGATGTCTTTGGCTGATGAAGATGATTACCAAATTTAGCTCATCCGTATGGCTCCGATCAGCTCCACCTGTGTTTCTAGGGTCATTTCCTCCCCACCTCCTCCAGTCTTTCTGTTGTTTCAGTGCCGGGGATCGAACCCTGGGCCTTGTGTGCATGACAGGCAAGAAATCCAGCAACGGTGTATAACAGGCTCCCCCCTCCCCCGCTAGCCCTAGTTCTTTCTGGTTATATTGAAAACGTTTCATTGTGTGTGTATGTGAATGTAGGCACGCCCACGGGCTGGTCCTCCCGGGTCAGCAGATGTGTGCAGCCAGCACTTTTACCCACCCAGCTGTCTCAACACCAGGCTGGCTTCACATGTGCTGGGTAGCCAGAGATTACCTTGAATTCCCGATCCTCTTGCCGCTGCTTCCCGAGTGCCGGGATTATAGATGTGTGTCACCACGCTCAGACTGCAGCCTGATTCTCTTTTTAAGATTTATTCACGTACTTTATGTATATGGGTGCTTTGTTGGCATGTATGTCTATTCACCAGAAGAGGGTACCAGATCCCATTACAGATGGTTGTGAGCCGCCATGTGGAGGCTGGGAACTGAACTCTGGACCTTTGGAAGAGCAGCCAGTGCTCTTAACCTCTGAGCCATCTCCAGCCCCATGCAGTCTAATTCTTAACCATTTCCCCCTTTTTGCTTTCTGCAGTTGGGTAACTAAACAGAGGGATCTTACGTTTGACTCTGACCAGCACACATCCCCCAGCTGACTGGACACCTCTTTCCTCCTTGATCATTCCCTGGCCAATAGTTCAAACTTTCACTTGAAGACTAGTTTCTGCCCTTACATAAGAAACGATCTGGCTCAATGGACAGCAGTGCTGTGTAGTTCCTCTTGTGTGGTTGGAGAACAAACCCTGGTTTTGAGTAAATAATCCCTTCCTAATCCTGTCATTTGATTCTCTGCCAGTTATACAACAGCCAATGCCGAGTCCGACTATGAGCGAGACTCCGACAAGGAGAGCGGGGATGGCGAAGATGACGTGAGCTGTGAGACTGTGAAGCTGGGGAGGAAGGATTCTCTGGACCTCGACACGGAGGGAGCGTCAAGTCCCGAGTCTGGAGCCTTGGAGGTGGACAGCTCCTCAGGCCCTGAGGATGTGGTGCTGCTCCTGCAGCAGGCAGACGAGCTGCACCAGGGCAGTGAGCAGAGCAAGCGGGAGGGCTTCCAGCTGCTGCTCAACAACAAGCTGGCGGTGGGTGAGACTCCGCCGCCTGTCTCCCTTCCTCCTCTGCCCTCTCCTCAATCTGACACTCCCAGGGAAGGAAAAAAACAGAATGAAAAACAAAAAAAACCAAGCTGGGCCAAGGTGGTGCACACCTTTAATCCCAGCACTCAGGAGGCAGAACCAGGTGGATCTCTGTGAGTTCAAGGCCAGCCTGGTCTACAGAGTGAGGTCCAGGACAGGCTCCAAAACTACACAGAGAAACCCTGTCTCAAAAAACCAACCAACCAACTAATCATACAGCTACCCCACATGGTTTCTAACCTGACAGACCACATGGGAAGGAGATGGGGTCCTGAAACAGCACTGTCTACCCCACAGCTTCCTGCCCCTGAGAAAGGGCTCGGGTTTTTCCCCTGTAGGACCCCGAGGAGCCCCACCTCTCCGAAGGGGAAAACGCAAAGGACCCGACTACGTGTGCCCCTGATTTCCACCCTGCGGGCCCCCCCCACCTGGTTTCTTCTGTTTTCCTTCAGGCAGAGTCTGAATGTGCCTGCCCTACTTGAAGTTTCTATTTGAAGTGACTGTGTAGGTCATTCACCGATTCCCTCAGGCCCACAAACCAAATTTACTCTGTAAATTCCTCCCTGAAGTTAGAAGCCACCCCCACCCCTTGAGGCAGGTCTCACTAAGTAGTCCTGGCTGGTCTCAAACTCCAGATCCACCTTCCTCAGCCTCCTGAGTGCTGGGATTAAAGGCGCAGGCCACCGTTTCCAGCAGAATTCTCCCTTCTTAGGAGCAGTTTCATATGTCAGCCAGAGACTTCTTTTGCTGTGTCTCATATCTTCTTGGAGTTGACCTTCCATCCTAGCAATAATTGAGGCCGAAATGTTCTTACTCAGTGATTGTGCAAGCTATCAACGAGAGATAATGTCTCCAGTTAACTGTGCATGGCCAGTTGTGGAGTGGGAAGGCCGTGTGTGTGTGTGTGTGTGTGTGTGTGTGTGTGTGTGTGTGTGTGTGTCGGGGATTATACCACTGTCTTAGAAAAAACACACAGTGTAGGGAGATGACCAGGGCCCCCATTCTTCATGGAGGAGGAGACTCATTTACTCCTTTTTGGTCTGTAGTATGGAAGCCGACAAGACTTTCTGTGGCGTCTGGCCCGGGCCTACAGTGACATGTCTGAACTCACCGAGGAGGAGAGTGAGAAGAAGTCATATGCCCTAAATGGTAAATGCTGACAGGTACCTGACGGGACTGTAACCAGCTGTGCAGATGGCCCATTGCTTGAGCCCCAGATGCTGTGAGGGCAGGAATAGTGGTTCGTTACTCAGTTACTCAGTGGGGGCAGACCGCTTCCGGGGCCTCTCTCCCTAATGACTCTTAGAGACAGAAGCATGGGTGATTGTTGTTCTTGATGTTTGTGTCATGGTCGTAGTGTTCTTTGCTTTGACTTCCCAACCAGAAAGAGCAGGAGCTTTTGCCTACTGCTTAGGACTCTGGAGTCAGCAGGACAGAGATTCGAGACTGGGTGCAGTATGTCTGTGTAGGGGAGCATTGCCGGCTTCTCTGTCTCTTTCCTGAATCTCTGCTTTGGAAGGTAGAATGCAACTGAGCCAGCCTGCTGCTCTTAGGACTTGGCCTTGTCAGTGATGAAGCAAGAGAACCTGGGAACTTTAAAAGCGAGAATGAACTGGGTGTGGCGGGTCACACCTGGAATCTCGGTACTTGGCAGGAGGACTGCAGTGACTCTGAGGCCAGGACAGGTGCAGAGCTACACAGAGAAACCCTGTCTCGGAAGGGTTTTTGTTAACTTGGGAACCAATGGGACAGAGGAAGATCCCTCTGTTTTACTTTCTCCCACGTCGAAAAACAAAAAAAAACAAAACAAAACAAAAAAAAATCAAATCCTGAACACTTAGTGATCCATGAGCCTCCTTAAGCCTGTGCATAGACCCTTCAGAGTCAGGTCTGTTGGAGACAGTTCCTGTCGGTTCCTTTCTCTTGTTGAAATGCTAAACTTTACTTCAGGAACATCGAGTAGGCATAAGGAGGTGGTGGGTTGGTGCCAGGCACAGCACTGCTTGTAATCGCAGTGCTGAGGAGGTGAAGGCAGAATCTCAAGTTCGGGGCCAGTCTGAGCTACATGGGGAGCCCATGTCTCAAAACAAAGACAAAGCAGAGATAGCTCAGCTGACGGAGCTGGAGCTGGGGAGCTGGGTGCCAAGCAAGTGGTCGTTCCTCCTGCACTGCTTCTTGTGGAAGTGTGCATGGGCGCCCTGTTAACTCTGGGTCTCCCTGTCTTCCAGGAAAAGAAGAAGCAGAGGCCGCTCTGGAGAAGGGAGATGAGAGCGCTGAAAGCCACCAGTGGTAACTATACCCTGCAGGCCAGGGGGGACCAGGGAGACCCTTTGCTCTACCCCGGCCAGAGGCATTGGCTTGAACTAGGGGCTGGGGGCACTAGTGTGAATCCCCACACGCCTCACCATGCCGCAGTCAGGGCAGCAGGGAAGTGTGCTTGGGGAGATGCTTTGGAGGCTAAGGCCAGAGAGAACACAGCTCTGCTCTGCTGGGGCTAAGAGGATTGAGTGTCTCCCAAGAGTCACTCTGGCCACACACTTGGTTTCGAGTTCTTCAGGGAAGCTGGGACAACCTGCACTTCCTTTCCTGCCAAAGCTCTTTTCCCCGGCCGGCCGTGATCCCACTGGCTTCTTTGGTTGGTTTGCATGAGAAAAAGATGTGAGCTTATACCCAAGAACTTCAACGATCAACTTAACAGACCTTAATAGCTTCCTGGGCCGAGGGCACAGTACAGTGGTAGACTGCCTGCCTGGCACACATAAGTAAGGCCTTGGTGCGATGCTCAGCACCACACAAAAGTAAAACCCAAGAGTCCTTTTGTGGGCTTTTGGGAGACAGGTTTTGCTAACTGGCTTGTGCTGAGGCCAATTCATGTCCTGGGCCTTGATTCCAGCCTCTGTTTTAGTTAAAGAAAAAAAAGAAAGGTTTGTTCTTCTTCCACTGTCCTTTGCTTTTCAAATCTCTACCCTCAGATTGTAAGCTGAGAGGCTGTGTTTTCCCATCTCTGGCTGAAAGTTTCCCCGCAAAGGTTCTGCTCAGAAGCCAGGTAACTGTTTCTGGGTATCGTTGCTCTCTCTGGGCTCTCGAGGATGAAAACAAGCAGTTGTTTATTTATTTATTTTAAGTTATTCCTAAGGAATAGCTATTTGATTGTCCATGGAAACGAGCCCAAGTGTCTGATACAAACATACCCCTCCACCCCACAAGATATTTTTAGCAAATATATGAAAAAGAAACTTGGGCATGGGAGGACATCATTGTCAACTGCTTCTAGTACGGATGTTTGGGGCAGAGCACAGGCAGTTAAGGCTTTCTTCTGGTCTCTGTGTGTGGTGCTGGGAATTGAAGCCAGAGTCCGGTACTGTGCACTCTACCACTGAACTGAGTTGCCCACATTGCCCTGAAAAGTTTGGGTTGGGGGTGGGGTGGGGTGGTGGGCTGGCTCACGTAGACAACGGCACTTGCAGGGCAAGTCTGGGGACCTGAGCTCCATCCCCAGGATCCATGTAAAGGTGGGAGGAGAGAACTGACTCATGGTTGTCCTCTGACCGCCACACTGTGTGTCATGGAGTGTGTTTGTAAACACACAGTAAGTTTAGAATTCCCATAGTTCAGTGGTTAGGAGCACACACTGCTCTTCCCGGAGACTCCAAGTCAGGTGGCTCACAAGTGACTCTGACCCCAGCTCAGCACTCTGATGCCCTCTTCTGGCCTCAGTGGACACTGAGCTCACATGCAGTTATACAAACACATTAAATATATGTATATCTATCTTTAAAAACGTTTGCATTCTCCCGGCTTCTCCAGTGGCACTTGTCACGAAACAAAGACCTTACATATGCTAGGCAAGTCCTTTACCCTGGGCGACATTTCCCAGCTCTGTAAGGCGAAGACTAGTTTGTTCTCTGGCAGGGAGGACGTGGGAGAAAGTAAAACAGATGCATCTTCCTGTGTTCCGTTTGACCATGCTGAAAACTCACATCCTCCTGCCAATGATACACTCACTACCTGTGTGTTTCCTAACCGACAGACTTCTAATACCCAGTCAGGAGGTAATAAAAAGAACACACTTACGTCTCTTGTAGTTAGATGCTGTTTTTTCAGATAGTTTGCAGTACTGAAGTCAAACCCAGAGCCTCACACGATGGCCGATCACTAGGCTGTAATCTAACTACCAGTTTTCACAATACCTGTGACTATACTGTATGAAAACAGGGACCGTTAAAAATCTGGGTTGAGAGCCGGGCGGTGGTGGCGCACGCCTTTAATCCCAGCACTCGGGAGGCAGAGGCAGGCGGATCTCTGGGAGTTCAAGGCCAGCCTGGACTACCAAGTGAGTTCCAGGAAAAGGCGCAAAGCTACACAGAGAAACCCTGTCTCGAAAACCCAAAAAAAAAAAAAAAAAAAAAAAAAAAAAAAAAAAAAAAAAAAAAAAAGATCTGGGTTGAGACCTTGTCTGTCTTTGTTTTCCACAGGTTTTGTTATGGCAGCCCTTGTTAGTCTGGTACTTGCTCAGGCTGGCTTCACACTTGACACAGCCTTCTGCCTCAGCTTTCTGAGTGATGCAATTACTGAAATGTGCTGTCACACCTGGCTAAATGTTCTCAAGTATAAAGGAGAGATTTACTTTGTGGGTGGTAGTGGGGTGTCCAGCAGGGAGAGAAAGGGCTTAAAAAACAAAAAATAGAACCTAGAATTACTTTGGCGAAGTATTGTAAGCCTACTACTAAGTACTAACTGGGACCATGATGAGTCTGAAGCGAGTATTAGTTACAGGTGAAACATTCTCAGCCATACTTAGGAGAGGGAAGCGTAAGTACACGTGGGTGACGCACTGCACCCCCCCCCCTGCACTCCCAGTCCCGCCCTCGTCCCTGAGCTTGCTGCTTCCTCCCTTAGGTATGCAGTACTCTGTGGTCAGCTGGCTGAGCATGAGAGCATCTCCAGGCGTATCCAGAGTGGCTTTAGCTTCAAGGTGAGGACAGGCTTCTTTCCCTTGCCCGGGCCCAGTCCAGGTTCCTTGCGCCCTTAGACTGGCTTTCCTGCGGTCTTGGTGCTTTGCTGCTCTTTTCTGAGGAACTCTGGGTTTGACGTTAGTTTGTTTCTCCTCCTCAGGAACACGTGGACAAAGCCATCGCACTGCAGCCCGCAGACCCCAGGAATCACTTTCTTCTTGGCAGGTGGTGCTACCAGGTGAGTGTCGTCTAAGGCCTGAGATGTTCCTGTCACACCAGTCTCCAGAAGGTCCTCAACGTTCGTCCTAGTCTGGCTCTTATTTCCTCTGAATCCTTCATGCTTTGGTAGATGACCCTGTCATATGTAGCCCAGGCTGGCCTCGGACTAATCTTTGTCTCAGCCTCCTGCGTGCTGGGCCTACAGGTGTACGACACCATGTTTAGACCCCGCTTTGATGCAGAACGTTCTGTATTTACCGTTCCCAAAGGAACTTCGTGACAGCTGGTGACTGCACTGGAGTCACACTTGATAGGCACTCTGCTAAAAAAGCCATGTCCCAGCCCAAGAAACCTAAAGAATTCTGTGCTGTGTATGTGTGGGTGCGCACACAGCATGGGAGTGTGTGGTCAGAGGACGACCTGAGGAACTGGGTCTCTTCTTCAGTCATGTGAGTACTGCAGACTTGGCAGCCAGTGACTTTACATTGCTGAACCATCCTGGTGGCCTGGAATTTTGGCGATGGGATTTCACGTAGCCCCAGACTGCCTCTGAACTGATTCTCCTCCATCTAGTGTTGGGATTACAGGCACACGATACCATGTTTGGCCCAACAAATGTCTTAAAAACCTATTCACACCTTCATTTTTTGGTGGCAGGTCTCTCACTTGAGCTGGTTGGAAAAAAAAACAGCTACAGCCTTGTTCGAAAGCCCTCTTAGCGCCACTGTGCAGGATGCGCTCCAGAGCTTCCTAAAGGTATCAAGAAGGGAACAGTGGGTGGAAGCCAGTGGCTTGTTCCTGGGACCCTTAGCTGGTGAAGCTGTATTTCCTAGTTGGGGATAATTTTGTATTTACCTATTTTGAGGGAAAAACAGAAGTACTTGGAGTTTATAAAAATATTAATTCCCAGACACACTAAATCAATCTTGTGATTATTTTATAGAGCTTTCTTTTTTTTTTTTTTTTTTTTTTTTAAAGATTAATTAATTAATTTTGTATACAGTGTGCCTTTATGTCAGAAGAGGGCACCAGATCTCACTATTGATGGTTGTGAGCCACCATGTGGTTGCTGGGAATTGAACTCAGGACCTCTGGAAGAGCAGCCAGTGGTCTTAACCTCTGAGCCATCTCTCCAGCCCTTTATAGAGCTTTCTAGTACCTGAACTTCAGATCAAATTGAATTTATGAACCTCTTAATAAAGTGAGTTTCTTTTTCCTCCAGGCTGAAGAGTTACAGCCAGGATTTTCAAAAGCCGGACGGGTATATATTTCTAAGGTAAATTCACCTTCAACATAGATGGAAATGCTTATGTTGTATTTCTGGGATCTTTTGATGGTAGGGATTAAACAGTCTATGCTCTGCCATACTGTTTTTTGAGAGCTATATTGATCAGATGTTCTCGTAAGATTCTCAATAGTTCAAGTTGACCTTTAACTCATGGCAATCCTCCTGCCTCTGAATGTTGAAGTTATTAGTTGTGAGCCACTGTTCCCTCCCCCCATGGTTTTTCAAGATAGGGTTTCTCTATGTAATAGCCCAGTCTATCTAGAACTCACTCTGTAGACCAGGCTGGCCTTAAACTCATAGAGATCCGTCTGCCTCTGCCTCCTGAGTGTGTGCCACCACTGTCCTGCCTTTCCCCCATTTTTTTGAGACAAGGTCTTGAGATGTAGAACACCTGCCTATACTTGCTGGGATTAAAGGTGTGCACTGTCATCCTCAGCTTCTGATCTCTTCTTTTCAATTTTCTTCTCAGTGCTATAGAGAATTAGGAAAAAACTCTGAAGCTAGAAAGTGGATGAAGCTGGCGCAGGAGCTGCCAGATGTCACTAATGAGGTAAAATAGTATTGCTTTAAAAACAGCATTTAAAATGTAGCTTTTAGGCTGGCCTCCATCTGACCATCGTGTCTGAGTCTCCCAAGTACTAAGATCAGGTGTAGCAGTATACCACAGCTTAGCTTGATGGTACTTTGTGTGTGGATGGAATGTGTGTGTCTTGACTTACGGTCAGGACAACCCTCAGGTATTAGTCCTCGCCTTCCACTTTGTTGAGACAGGGTCTCTGTAATCCATCACCGGGCATCTTCAGCTAGCGGTCCAGAGAGCTTCAGGGGATTGATTCTCCATCTTCTTTTCTCATCTCCCTTAAGAACCCTGGCTACGTCAGCTGTGTTACTGCGCTTGGCTTTGATGTGTTCTGGGTCACATCCTAATACTAAAATGGCAAATGCTTTACGTATTGCCCACCTCCCCACCATGCTCCAGTAAAATTTTTTAAAAGAGCCTTTAAATACTGATTTCTGCCACAGAGTCACCTTTCCCAGGAAAGAAAGTTTACCATTTTATGTGGAGTCTCCTGCATGCTATGCGATCTGTCTCCTCCTTTGCTTGAGGTGTGTAAGGAAGAGACAGATTGAATAGACCCTAGGCTATCACAGGGAAAGTTCGGAGGAAGACTGGTAACAGCTCAGTGTAGAAGCAAACGGCCCTTGTCAGGGTCTAGTGATTGGGGGAAAGCTTAATTCTGATTCTGTTCTCAATTTTTGTCTCCTAGGATTCAGCTTTCCAAAAAGACCTAGAAGAATTGGAAGTAACTTTAGAAAAATAATCACATTCCAGTGACTTGGGGGCTACTACTTAAACAGAGAAAAGAAAATCAAGTTGCCTTTCCCCCTCTGTGACACCACTGAGTTCAGGAAACCAAGCAAGACTGGTTTAGGGGATGTCTTGATCCCTGAGGTCTGACTGCTACTACCATCATCCCTCAATTTTCTATGTTATCAGTTAATTTATTATAATCTCTTAATCTACTAAAATTGGGGATGAACTTGCTGCTTAGGTTTCTGCTTTCTAACTCTTAAGTGAATTCCTGAGAAATCAAGACTGTATAGCCAGAGTTAAGTGTGGAGACAGCCCAGAAGGCCCAGAGCTGAGAGGATGGAGTAGCAGAACTTTCAACTGCAGTGAGATAGAACACCGAAGAGGCACGGCAACCAAGTGTAGGACTTGTAACCTTCTTTGCTGATATTCCTATTTATTGTCCTGAAGTCATTCCCTGCCTATGAAGACAAGAGGAACCGCCAGCATAGCCCAGCCACTGCCCTCTTACCACCCATCATGTAGACTCCACCTGTATTCTTGGGGTGAGGGCTGGACCACATGACTTCCAGGGTTCTGGCAGCTTCTGGGATGGCAGCACTGGCCAAGGGTTTATAAATATATTTTGGAAGTGACCTGAAGAGGTGCCTGGAATATTTTTTGGTACAAATTTGAAATAAACTAAATTTGATTAGAAGGATATGTTGTCTGTTTCCATTATTTGACAACTTCAGAGTATTTTTCCTTCCACAGAGGAAACAGAAGACAAAAAGCATGTGCATCAAACACTTGGGCTTTTTATCTTTTCAGCAAAAAAATTTTAGACTTATTTATATGTGAGCGTATGTCCTGTGTGTGTTTACCTGACGGAGGCCAGAAGAGGGAATCGGGTCTGGAGGTCGAGTTACAAGCTTTCTGAGTCATGTGATGTGGGTGCTGGAAGTTAGACTCAAGTTCTCTGGAAGAGCACCAAGTGCTCTTAACCCCTGAACTAGCTCTTCAGCAGCAAGAAATAGTCTTTTCTATGAAATACTATTGAAACTTGGGTTTAGGACAAAAATTCTTATTTCACCACTCTGTAAGTTTCTCATGCAAACGTTTTAATCCCCCCGCCCAGGAAAAACGTTTGTTTACACAGAGGTCCCCCACTGCATTCCAGAAATGATGGCCTAGAGCAGAGACCCCTTTCCTCTTCCTTGCAGACTTGGCTGCTCTGGAACTCAGATCCACCTGCCTCCTGAGAGTAAAGGCATGTTGAACCATACCCAGCTCCCCACCATAAACATTAGCAGCAGCAGCTGTAGAGACAGCTCAGTGGTTATAGACACTTGCTGCTTACAGAGGACCCAGGCCCAGTTCTCAGCACCCACATGGTGACTCAAAACCATCTGTAACTCCAGGATGACTTATCTCCATGGGCACCAGGCAGGCATACATGTAGTACATATACACATACAGGAAAAACACACATTAAAGAAAAATTATGTGAAGGTGCTAGACTGCTCTGGAGCTGAAGTGAAAGCTACCCGCTCTGGATGCTGGGAACTCAGTCCTCTGACAGGCAAGCAGCGTTTTCCCCTGCTGAGCCATGTCCCTGGAGCCGGCAGTGCCTTAACTTCCTGGATAAACTAGGTCTAGCCTTGGTCACTGCTGTGATCCTCTGTCCTGAGATGAAGCAGTGCCCTCGAAACTCAGGTCAGAGGCTTGGGCTGGTTTTCCTATCTCTAATTTTCCCCCTGGATACCAGCCAGAACCTTGAGCCTGGTTTCCCTGACTTCCTGGGCCTCCTTACTGTCTCTCTCATCTCCATGCCTGACTTAAAAAACATGACAACTTCTCTAGCTCTTTTCCTCTCGGAAGCTGCTAGCATTTTCAGCTTACCTATTCTATTGCTTTTCTCTTAAACTTGAATAAAATTGCTTTTGAGCTTCCTTCCAAATCTGTTTTGAAATTCTTTATTAGACTCAAGAACCCAAAAGGAGACCATAGGAAATTTCTGAAAATATTCCAAAAGAATCATTTGGCCAAAGTCAGGCCTCTGCAACACAAGACTTAGAGAATAAAAACAAAGACTACAGGAAAGACATAGTAAATCAGCCTGGCAATCTCATTCCTAGGCCAAAGGATACAAGCGCAGCAATTTGAATGTAGGCTTTCTTTAGTTTTCAAATCTTACAACTACAGCAATTGGTCATAACTGCTCAGTTCTGAAAGACTATGGACCTTATCTTGCAGCACTCCGTTGGCATGAAGGACTCCTATAAACAGCACATGTACTGCACACAACTACCTTATTAACAGCTGCAGAACCATTCGCTTAAGTGAAGTCTTAGTAATTAAGAGAACATGTTTTGGGATATTTAATTGCACCGTGACACTCTGAGGCTACTAATATAGTTAACCCTGAATCAGGAGGCGAAGTCAGCCACCAGCTGACCAAATTAGCCATGGAGATTTTGGAGGACCCAGGATTCTGCAGAGATGGACCGGAAGGAATAGGGAGAGGCTTAGAAAGATTCATAGGCTTTTTTGATCTGGGAATTGTGGTCAACTGGTTGTTCCTCTGCCGATATTTTTTGTTTGTTTGTTTGTTTTGAGGCAGGGTTTCTCAGATGTGCAGCCCTCACTGTTCTAGAACTCACTCTGTAGCCCAGGCTGGCCTTGAACTCAGAGATCCACTTGCCTGTCCCCCAAATGCTGGGATTAAAAGTGTGCGCCACTATGCCTGGTTTCTGCCTCTTTTTTGATTTATCAGGTTTTTACCCCAATATCTGACTCCGAGATTTTATTAATAACAGAACAATTTAGATAAATGTCTCTAGAACAAGAAGCACTATAGGACTGATAGGCTAGCATGCCTCATGCAAGACTCCTTAACCACAATCATTTCTTAAATTCTGTGAGAGTTCAGGCATGTAATTTGAAATTTTGCATCTTACATGTAGAGAAAAAGAACGTGGAAAGCACCCATTCCCCGTCACATATCTCAGGCATTTTATTTCACCATTATTGAGAAGTGAGAGAAGACTCGGGTCTTTCCAGTTTTACTTCTCTTAAAACATAAGATTGTCTGGTAGCTGTTATTTCATATCTCTCCTCCAAACACCAAAGAAATCAGACATTAATATACTCTATAAGAAATAAACTATAAGAAATGAACATTTCAGATCAGTTTGAATTCAGACTCGTCTCCTGTTTCTGCCACCAGAAAGCAGATACAATAATTGTTTTCCCGGAAGCCACGTCCTGGCAGTCACATCAGGAAGAGCCTGAAGAAGCCCAGGGAGCTGTCCTCTTCATTAGACTGTACAACATTTAAAAGTTTATCACAGAAAAAACGGCCCTGATGACTCAGTCCTTGGCGTCTCCCACTCCATCTGCATTAATGGCAAACATGGCTTCAGCTTCAGGAAGACAGGGAGAGTCGTAGATTTTGCAGATTCTGGTCTCCCCTCTTCCTTTCCTCAAGTACAGCCTGACCCAAAGACAGATAAACACACCAAGTTATAAACAATTCTATTCCTATGACAGAACTAATTTTTTCAGACATGCCTAACTTCCTAAAGGGATTTTTAGGAACTTTTTTAGTGTATTTGGCTACCTCCAACTTGGAGGAATGCCACGACTCTCTTACGGAAAATCTTGAAGAAAAACATTATTTTATAATTAGGGAGGCACATCAAATATTCATCTATTTTTCTCACACCTGGGAGATTTTAATTAGATCTAGGCGTCTGTGTCTGTGTGTGGCTATGTGCTCATGAGGGCAGGGGCCTGTCAGAGGCCAGGGTTGCTAGATCTTGGAGCTGGAGCTATGGGAGGTTGTGAGCACCTCATGGAGGTGCTGAGAACTCAACTTAGGTTCTCTACAAGATCAGAACATGATCATAATCACTGAGCCATCTCTCCACCTGCAAAGCAAACACTTGTATCAACCAAAGCACAACAAATTTAGCGAGGCTTCCTAAGTGTCTACACTGCCGCAATTTTCATAGGGTTTAATAGGGTCTAAGTGGAAGTGTTTTCTTACTTGTCTATCATATCCATTCCAGAAAGCCTCTGCCATCACCTTACCTGGTTGTCGATGCATGGGCAATGATGTTTCCTCCAATGGGTTTTTTGGGATCTGCAGCAAACATGGCTGCTCCATCCACTTGGGCTACTACCTGGTTGGTGATTACCACGGCCACACCAAACTGATGAGGGAAAGAATGTCAGTTTTGTGACCACAGACATACCAAAACATTAATGCTCACAACACAGCAATGGCTAACTATCGTTCATCTTTGATAATACAAGGCACTAATGTCCTCAGAAGGCTCCAGCAATTTGTATCCACTGAAAGCCACTGAATTCTAGGTTTCTTCACTACAGCTTACCTCATCAGCAAGTCGCAGCAGCATCCTCAGAAATCTGGCCAAATGCATTTGCCTGGCTGAAAGCTCTCCGCGACCCGAGTAGTCTGTTCTGTAGAGGGCAGTAGCACTGTCTACAATGAGCAGTGCGTACCTACAAGAAAAAAGAATTCTTTGTCAAAATCTCCTCTCTAAGTTTATATGTATTCCACACTTTCCACTTTCCTTCTTTTGGAGACTGGGGTTTGTTCCTTATGCAGCCCAGGCTGTTCTGAAATTTATGATCCTCGGGTCTCAGTCTCCCAACTGCCAGGATAAAGCAGATGAGCCACTGACACCAACTCCCTAGTTCAAACACAAACACACGTTTTATTAAGATGTTTATAAAATGTCCAATCTGAGACACCCTTTGGTGGGTCTTGTTTTGTTTTTGGCAGGTGTCTCAGGGTTTCTAGTGCTGTGAAGACACCATGACCACAGCAACTCTCACAAAGGGAAACGTGTAGAAAAATGCTACACCTCCAGCCATAGCTTCCTTTTTCACTAGTGACTTGACTGAAACCATAAAGCAACTGTGCCAAGATAAGAACTGAAGAGCAGAGATGACAGTGGGTAAAGGACTTGTCATGTAAGTGGGAGGACCCCAGTTTAAATTCCCAGAGCCCACGTAAGCCAGCCAAGGCAGCACGTGTTTGTAATCTCAGTGCTTTTCCAGCTCGATGGAAGTGTTTCTAGAAGCCTGTGGATACCAGCCTGGCATACACAACAGAGGACAATGAAGGGATGCTGTCTCAAATGAGGTAGAGCGAGAACGGACGTCCAAAAGTGTCCTCTAACCTGCACATGTGAGTCACTTCATATGCATGCCCACACTCATGTATGTGTGTGTACACATAAACACTTACACATGTCACACACCAAATACACACAAACATGTTTTTAAAAGAAAGGAATTGGGAGCTGGAGAGATGGCTCAGCTGTTAAGAGTACTTTCTGCTCTTTTGGAGGACCCAAGTTTGTTTCCCGGCAGCCATACTGGGTAGCTCGGCCTGGAACTCCAGCTCCAGGGGATTCTAGTCCTCTTCTGACTTCTATAAGTCCCCCCCACACACACATGAGGCATACATTCACAGAAACACACACGTAAGTAAAATTTAATAATCTTTTAATAAATCTTAAAAGCAAACAAAACTAAAAAAAAAAGTATCACTATATTAAAAAAAAAAAAAAAAAACAACAAACAAACAAAAACCAAAGCTGGGCAGTACTGGCGCACGCCTTTAATCCCAGCACTGGGAAGCAGAGGCAAGAGGATCTCTGAGTTCCAGGCTAGCCAGAGCTACAGAGAAACCCGTCTTGAAAAAAACCTAACCCCACCCCAAAAAAAACACAACCAACCAAACAAAACCCACCACTCGAAACCAAACCAAAACCAAGAGAAAAAAAAACCCTCCACACAAAAACAGCTCTTGAAATTTAAATCTCTGTTTCTATTCATATTACCTAGATTCAGGTAAAGGGCTGTGGGGAGAGATTTAATGTTTTACTGAATGCGTACCTGGATTCTACCATCATAGCCGATGCTTGATAAAGGAGCTGGGTTTGGTGGTCTGTGTTGAACCCTCGAGCATAAGCTACATTATCTAGGACATCACTGCCAGAGAGACCGTATCTAGAAAAGAGATTTTTAGGCTTCAGACAGAACTCAAACACATGAGAAATTAATATCTAATATTTCTTTTTCTTTCTTTCTTTGGTTTTTCGAGACAGGGTTTTTCTGTGTAGCTTTGGTGCCTGTTCTGGACCTCACTCTGTAGACCAGGCTGGCCTCAAACTCACAGAGATCCACCTGGCTCTGCTTCCCAAGTGCTGAGATGAAAGGTGTGTGCCACCACCGCCCGGCAATAACTAATATTTCTATTATCCAAATAGCTAAGAGGTAGCATTCCCAGTGGTTTCAAGACTCACAAACATGAGTCCCTTTCTATCAGAGGTATAGGCAAACCATTTATAGAGATGACAGCACCAACTATTTTAGACTAGAAGCAAGACCTAAGGATACATCAAATTTATTCTTTTGCCCTCCTAACTACAATGAGAAATTTCCAAGTATGAGGTAACAATATTCTCTTGGAAAAGCCACAAACTACAGAATTAGGATAAACGAAAATAACAAACCATTCAAAGATTAGTTATGTTAAATGAATGACACTTTAATATTTATGCCTCAAAGACTGTTTTCTTTTGCAGCTAAAAAGAGGACATTATATATCTATTTTCATAGAATGACCTGTATTTTCTTCCACTTTGTAACTGCCACCTAAGACATAAATGCTCAAGGTGGCTCACGTAAGACAATCTCTCTCTCCCTGGGGCCTCACCATGTTGTCACCCTGGCTGGCCTTGAACTCAGACATCTGCCTATGTCTGGAGTGACAGAATTAAAGAAAGGCATGCCTCACTATGCCTGGCCCAACAATTTCTTAGTAAATATGTAACAACAGGAGAGATTCCCTCTCGATTATTCATCTATGAGGACTCAGCCAAATGCCTGCTGTAAATTTTTCTGGGAACTTTTTTGGAGGGTGCATTGCTATGTTTTTCCTAGGCTAGCCTCAAACTCCTGGGCTCTAGGAATCCTCAAGGCTCAGTCTCCAGGGCAGGATTAAAAGCGTGCACCACCACCACCACCACCACCACCCGGGTCAGATTTAATTATCTTCCTTTTGTGTTTCTAAAACTTGGCTTGAGTCTTAACACTGGAGAAGAAAAAGTGGAAAGAAAAACTTGTTTTGGTACCTGACCCATTTTTGAAACAGGGTCTCACTGTGTTTAAGGCTAGCCTGGAGCTCAGATCCACCTGCCTCTGTCTCCCAATTGCTGGGATTAAAGACTTGTACCAACATGTCCAGCCCTTGGTTGTTTTTGATATAGGATCTAACTATGTAGCTCAGCCTTGCTTAGAACTCTTATGAAGCCCATAACTCAGGAGTTTCACTCCTGAAACTCAATACTTTTTTTTCTCTGCCTCTGGTGTGGTTAGATTTTGAGTGCATTATCATACCTACATTGTTTGAGACATTCTCTCAGCCCAAATATGGCCTTGAATGCCACTATGTAGCTGAGGTTGGCCTAGAACTCTTGATCTTCCTGCCTCCACCTTCAAGTATTAGGCATCGTAGACTTGTACCACTATGCCAGGTCCATTGTTTTGGTTTTCTTTCTTTTTTGAGACAGGGTTTCTCTGTGTAGTTCTGGCTGTCTTGGAACTTGCTCTGTAGAACAGGCTGGCTTTGCCTGCCTTTGCCTCCTGAGTACTAGATTATAGGTATACATTATTATACTAAGCAGAATTCATATGCATTTCCTCCTTTATTGCCATGATTTAAATGAAGAAAATATCTATCTCCTAAGTACTATATTACTTGATCCCCAACCCCAAGATAATACTCTCTCTCTTCATCCTTATGATAGAATCATGAACACAAGCTCCCAAAGAATTAGAGCCCATTAGATTTCATTTAAAAACCCTTTAAATTGAAAAATTAAAAAAAACATGTTGTTGTACACACTGCATGGCACACGTGTGGAGGTCAGAGAACAATGCCCAGGAGTCTGTTTTCTCCTTCTACCATGTGGGTGCTGGGGATTGAGCTGAGGTAGTCAGGCTTAGCAACAATGCCTTTACCCACTTAATCATTTTGTTAGTTGTAATATTATCTTCTGAATTATTAAATAAGAGAAAAACTGGACAAACAGAACATTACTTGGGTCAAAAGGGATTGTACACGTTTTTCATTGTTTGGGGTGTGGATAAAAGTAACAGTATTTATTCAGTACTTGATTAATATACAAAATTCGATGGAAAGATGTAGAAGCTCATTGTTTTCCCTAAAGGAATTTATAGTCTTACAAAAGCACACAGGAGGTAGAGGACAGTGGATCTCTGTGATTTGGGTGCCAGCCAGAAGATACAGAAAAGAGGAGTGATGAATTTCTGGTCCATGTTTCTCCCCAAAGTCTGTTCTCAGTATCAGTCCCTTGGCCTCTGTGCCTCAGGGTCCTCATTTCAAGTAGGAACTTGTAAAAAAGTGTAGAACCCACAAGTGTAGGAAACTTCTGGAGAGCCTTTGCTCTCAGTGAAGAAAGCCCTTTGTGCCAGCAAGATGTGTAACTAACACTTGTACAGTATTTGAGAGAACTGTCTGGGAGACTCTGGTTCTTTTTCTTTCTTCTTTTTTTAAAATTAAAACCATCCTAATAAGCTGGGTGTGAGGGCACACACCTTTAATCCCAGCACATAGGAGGCATCAGCAAAAGGATCTCTGTGAGTTTGAGGCTACCCTGGTCTACATATTAGTTCCAGGACAGACAGGCCTACAGAGAGAGACCCTGTTTCAAAACAAAACAAAACCCTAAAAACAAACAAACAACAAAAATAAACTCCCCCAAACCCAAAACAACCAAATAGATAAAAAAAAAAAACAAAAACAAGTGGCTATAAATGAAGTTTTATTTTAAACTTGATATTTAGTTCCATTGATCTTATTCATCTTTTTTTATTTTTGAGACCAGGTCTTATTATGTACCCTTCAGACCAGGCTGGCCTTCAGCTTAGAGATCTGCCTGCTACTATGCCTGCTGAGTAACTCTCCCTACACATACCTTTTTTTCCAGTACTGAGAATCAAACCTGGGGTCTCATGTAAGCTAGATAAGTACTTTAGCACTGAGCCATATCCCTAGCTGCATATCTATTTTTAAGTTATAATCATCTGCAATGACTACTGTAGTTTTATAATGAGCTTTAAGTTGAGAACTCGGGCTGGAGATGGCTCAGTGATTAAGAACACTGACTGCTCTTCCAGAGTCTTCCTAGGTTCAATTCCCAGCACTCATACAGTGACTCACGACCATAATATAGACCCAAATTCCAGTTTGGGATAGCCAATGCCCTCTTCTGGTTTCTGAAGGCAAAGAATGGTGGCATTGACACACGTGCAGAAAAGACACCCACCCACCCTCAGACACAAATAAATAAATAAACGAAACTCTAGATTTTTCTACATAAATCTTATGAGTTTGTCAATTTGCAAAAAAGCTTGCTAGAATTTTGACATGATTTATAGATTCTAAACAATTTCAATTTTGTGATGTAATCTTAGATTTTTTTTTTAAATAGGATTTTTTTTTTATATTTATTTATCTATTATGTATACAGCACGTATGACTGCAGGCCAGAAGATGGGCACCAAATCTCATTTCAGATGGTTGTGAGCCACCATGTGGTTGCTGGGAACTGAACTCAGGACCTCTGGAAGAGCAGTCAGTGCTCTTTAACCTCTGAGCCATCTCTCTAGCCTGTAATCTTGGATATTAAAAGATATTGGTCCAGGTGGTGGTAGAGGATACCTTTAATTCTAGCACTCAGGAGGCAGAGGCAGGCAGACCTATGTGAGTTCAAGCCCAGCCTCGTCTACAGAGCAAGTTCCAGGACAGCCTAGGCTACACAGAGAAACTCTGTCTAGGGAAAAAAAAAAAAAAAAAAAAAAAAAAAAAAAAAAAAAGATATTGGTGATTACTGCCCTTGCAGAGGACCTGGGTTTAGCTTCCAGCACTCACATGGTGGCTCTCAACCATGTTTTGTTTCTCAAATCCAAAGAGGTTCACCTGCCTCTGCCTCCAAATGTTAGAATTAAAGGCTTGGCCACCCCTCACCCCCGGCCCCAGCTCACAACCATTTATAATTCCAGTTCCAGAGTATCTGACACCCTCCTCTGGAGTCCATATGTAATCCTTGCACATGGTACACAGATATACATGCAGGTAACACTCACACATATAAACTAAAAAATTATTCTTAATTATGTTTGTAATTGTCATGCTTTCCTAATGAACTGATCTTTTAATTATAAATGTCCTTCCAGGGCAAATGAGATGGCTCAGAAGATTGGCACCAAACTTGAGCTCAGTTCCTGGACCCCACATGGTGGAAGGAGGAATTCACTCCCAGAAGTTGTCCTTCGGCTTCTACATGCACACAATGCACCGGCATGCCCATGCCTATACAGATGAACACATTTTAAAAAAGGGTTTTCTCGACTTTAGTAGTTTTCTTTGGGGGGAGCTGCTGCAGTCTTTTAATTTCTGTTATGGTTCCTGATTATGTTATCTCTTTCAAGCTTTTTTTTTTGGTTTTTCGAGACAAGGTTTCTCTGTGCAGCTTTGCCCTTTTTTCCTGGAACTCGCTCTGTAGCCCAGGCTGGCCTTGAACTCACAGAGATCCACCTGGCTCTGCCTCCCAGTGGTGGTATTAAAGGCGTGCGCCACCACAGCCCGGCTTTTTTTTTTAATTAATTAATTTAATTTTTTAAGCTTTTTATTTTCAACCTGTCTTTAAAGTGTTATTTATTTGTAAAATAATACGTAGTTGAATCTTGTTTTTTATTCAGTCTGTGAGAACTTACAGTGTTGAGTAAAGAATGTCTTACATTGTTAATATTGTTCTTTTAAACCAGACAATTGGGATGCAGAGTAATGAGACACTTTCTAGGCAAATTAATGTTTCAAAATACTCTAGGAACAAGTTAAACACATTCTTCTAATTTAGTGACCTACCTCTCAGCCACTGCTAGCAGCCGTTCTGGCCTAAATGTACCCTCAGTGTCAATGTACATGGCCTTTCCTTCACCTCCACCACGATCAATGGGAAGCTGGAGAGAAAAAAGAACAGTGGAAACCACTACTCTTCTGATACAGTTTGCCAGGTTCTCCATGGTCAATCTAATTTCCTCCACTCTAAGTAAGGAAGTCCACTGTAAGACACTGGGCAATGGTAGCGCACACCTTCAATCCCAGCACTCCAGATCTCTGCAGCCTGGTCTATAGAACAGTTCCAGGACAGCCAGAGCTACAGAGAAACCGTCTCAAAAAACCAACCAACCAACCAACCAAAAAACAAAACAAACAAACAAACAAACAAACAAAAAAAAAAAACCCAACACTTTAACCCTGAAAACACATATACACTATATTAAAATCTCAAAAAATAAAAAATTATAATTATAAAAACCAACTAAACAAAAAAACCAACTTTAAAATAATGAACTTGGTTGGAATGGTGGGTCACACCTTACCTGTATTCCCATCCAGGAGGCAGAGGCAAGAGGATCTCCATGAGTTTGAAGCCACCCCAGACCACATATTAAGTTCCAAGACAGGCTGGGTTATAGTATGAGACCTTGCACCAGGAAATAAAACAGCATGGGGCTAGAGAGATGGCTCAGTGGTTAGGAGCACCAGCTGTTCTTCCAAAGGACCTAGGTTCAATTCCCAGCACCTACAAGGTAGCTCACAACTGTCTGTAACTCCAATTCTCGGGAATTTGACGCCCTGATACATTTGTGCAGGCAAAACACCAATGCACAGCAAACAAAAATAAATAAATAATTTAAAAACAAAACCAAAAAAGAGCAGGGCCTGTATAAGTAGCTCCATAGTTAAGAGCACTGCTTGTATTTCCAGAGGACCTAGGTTTCATTCCCAGAACCCACCTGGTGACTCACATCCTGGTACTCTTTAATTCTAGGGGATCCAAAATGCTATTCTGGCCTTCATGGGCACCAGACACACACAGACAAACACGCACAGGCAAAATACTCATACACATTAAAATAAAACAAAATGACAATCAGAGGCAACAGGACTTAATACAAGTTAATAATAACAGACACGAAACACATAAAACTAGTGTTTTGTCAGAGATGTACATGATAAAACTACATAGTAAGACTGATCAGTTCTAATGTCACACATTTAATAACAGGCAACGATAGCCCATCTCTCTGTCATCACACATGAAGAGGATCAGTTCAAGGTCAGCTAGGTAGTGAATTTGAGGTCAGCCCTGGCAACACAAGACCCTACCTCAAAACAAACAAACCCATCTTTGATGATATATTTGTAATCTAAGAAATAAAATTTGCCTGAAGACCAGAGGACAGAGCTAGCCAGAGTCAGCCATAGAGGTCAGGCAGTGGTGGCACACACCTTTAATCCTAGCACTCAGGAGGCAGAGATCCATCTGGATTTCTATAAGTTCAAGGCCACACTGGTCTACACAGATCAATCCAGTCTAAAAGAGAAACAAAGCCAGACAGTGGTGGCACACACCTTTAATCCCAGCACTTGGAATCACAGACCTTTAATCCCAGCACTAGGAAGGTTGAGACCGGAAGTGATATGTTAGGCAGAGAAAGGAATATAATGTGGGAGGAGACAGGAACTCTGGCTTCATTCAGGCTGAGGAGTTGGTGAGGTAAGAGGTGGTGGCTGTGGCTTGCTCTGCTTCTCTGATCTTTCAGCTTTCACTCTGATATCTGGCTCCAGGTTTTTATTAAGACCAATTAGGATTTGTACAACACCAATCCTTCCTGAGTATGGTGGCTCAAAGGCACTTGTAACCCCAGTGCTGTGAGAAGTAGAGGCAGAACCTGAACTTGTGTAGTCCAGGGTGGCTTTGAACTCACAAGAGATCCAGATGGATCTCTGCCTCCCGAGTGCTAGGATTAAAGGTGTGTGCCACCACTGCCTGACCCCTATGGCTAACTGGCTAGCTCTGTCCTCTGGTCTTCAGGTAAATTTTTTTAGATTACAAACATATCACCACATTTCTTCCTTTTCGTTTACAATAATAAAAGGTTATAACTACTATAAGAAAAATTATATACAAGTACAATAACTATATATAATATATACAATCAAGAATTACATTAATAATGTTCAGTCCATTAACAACTGAAAAATTCAGAGAAAACACTCCATTATTTATCACATTTTGGTGAATTCAAAGTGTTGTACCTAATGCACTTTCTATTCTGACTAGTATTACAAACCGAAAACTATCTTTTGATGTCTTTCAGACTTACATACTTGACAGCTCTTTAGTTTCTTTTCTGAATTTGTTAACAAGGAAAACTCGAACTATCTAGTCTTCAATTCCCTCAGAGACCCAAGAAGGAAATAATATTACTTTAGTAAGCAGGAAGTACAAACAAGTGACTTCCAAAAAAATGTGAGAAATGTGGGGGCTGGAGAGATGGCTCAGCAGTTAAGAGCACTGGCTGCTCTTCCAGAGGACCTGAGTTCAATTCCCAGCAACCACATGGTGGCTCACAACCATCTATAGTGAGATCCGGTGCCCTCTTCTGGCCTGCAGGCATACATGTAGGCAGAGCACTGTATACATAATAAATAAATCTTTAAAAAAAAAAAAAAAAAAGAAAAAAAGAAATCCCAATTGACTCACCAAATCTGTTGACAATGTCGATTCAGATGACAGTGTGACAGTAGCCCCAGGAGGGGGCTCAGAGAAAGCCACAACCCACCAGGAGAGGACAGAAGTGAGAAGAGCCAGCAGTCTGCATGGGGGAACGCGTGAAAGCGGCTAATTCTGGTGTTTGGAGCCTGAGCCTGAGCCTGAGCCTGTGCCTGTGGAGTTGGCTGTCTGCATAGTGCGAAAGCGGCCCACTCCTGCAGTTTTCGGAGCTGAAAAGCCTATGGAGTTTGCTGCAGAGAGGCTGCAAAAAAACCTTAGCTGGCAAGGTAGGGGATGTCATTCTGTATGCTATAAATGTGTGTTGCTCTGATTTGGTTGATAAATAAAATGCTGATTGGCCAGTAGCCAGGCAGGAAGTATAGTATAGGCGGGATAAGCAGAGAGGAGAATTCTGGAACAGGAAGGATGAGTCAGGAGTTGCCAGCCAGACACAGAGGAAGCAAGATGTGAAGACATAACTGAGAAAAGGTACCAAGCCACGTGGCTAAACATAGATAAGAATTATGGGTTAATTTAAGTGTAAGAACTAGTCAATAGTTAGCCTGAGCTAATGGCCGAGCAGTTTTAATTAATATGAGCCTCTGTGTGTTTTCTTGGGTCCAAGTGGTCGCAGGGCCACAAGAGATGAGCAGGACCAGGAAAACTTTAGCTACAAGGCAGGGTGGAAACTCGGGCTGAATCCAGCTCCAGCCTAAGCCAGTGGCTGCAAAGCTACAGGCAAGCAGCTTTTTCATGAATTTGTGCCCCATGTTGTGGGCACCATATGTTGCACGAATCCTAATAGGTTTTATAATAAAAACCCAGAGCCAGATATCAGGGTGAAAGCTGAAAGATCAGAGAAGCAGAGCAAGTCACAGCCACCACCTCTTACCTCACCAACTCCTCAACCTGAAAGAGCCTCTCCAAGAGTTCCTGTGTCCTCCTGCCTTATATTCCTTTCTCTGCACAGCAGTATCACTTCCTGTTTCAACCTTCCTAGTGCTGGGATTATAGGTGTGTGCCACCTATACCTGGCTGTTTCTCTTTTAGAGTAGATTAATCTCATGTAGCCCAGTGTGGCCTTGAACTCACAGAAATGGATCTCTGTCTCTGCCTTCTGAGTGCTAGGATTAAAGGTATATACCACCACTGCCTGAGCTATGTGGCTAACTCTGTGGCTTGTTCTGCCCTCTGATCTTTGGGCAAGCTTTATTTCTTAGATTATAAACAATATTTCACCACTGCAGAGAAAACATTTTTACTTAAAAAGACTAGATACCGTGTTTAATGAACCATATCAGGTTATTACTGTTACACTTTTTTTGAGACAAAGTTGTTACACATATTTTCTGAGACATAAAGTGTAGACTTGTAGGGCTAGGGAGGTGGCTTATCAGTTAAGTGCAGTGGCTACTCTTCCAGAGGACCAGGGTTTAATTCCCAACATCCACATGGCGGCTCACAACTACTGTCCAACTCCAGTTTGGGGTGGTGGTAGTGGTGGTGGTTTGTTACTTCTTCTGGTCTCTGAAGGCACTGGGCATGAACACGGCACACAGACATGCATGCAAACAAAACACTCATACATATAAAAATAATTAAAATTTAGACCAATGAAGAAAGGCACGTAAATCTAGAAAAAATGGTAGGAAAATATTTTGCATCAGTCATTTGGAAATTTGTATGATATGGATTGATTTTCAGTAGGAATTATCTTCTAATTCCCTTTGGGATTCTAGAGAAAGTACGTTTTATGTCCATCCTAATAGATGCATAAAGATATCATGAGTCAACCAATGCCTGCTGATCTGATTAGCCCAAACGCCAACAACTCACCTGGCATGTTACAGCCAATGTATGACAGATCTGTGTCTTCCCAGTTCGGAATTCTCCAAACATCTCTGTGATAGATCCAGTCTCAATTCCACCTATGAAAGTAAAAAGTAACTCATATAAAGTAACTGTTTAGAAACTATAATCACCGAAATGTTCTGGAGCACATGGATGCTCCCATAAAACTCCCATTTTCTTTTTTCTTTTGGTTTTGTGAGAGCTACTTTCTCTGTAGAACATCCCTGGATGTCCTGGAACTCGCATTGTAGACCAGGCTGGCCTTGAACTCACAGAAATCCATCAGTCTCTGTCTCCCAAATACTGGGAATAAAGGTATGCACCACCATCACCACCTAGTTAAAAACTCCCATTTTCAATAATCAGTAATTTGTTAATTTCTTTTCTTTTTGTTTTTTTTCTTTTTTTGGGGGGTGGGGTGGAGAGTAGGCTCACTAGTACACACTTGTACACCAGCTATGTGGGAAGATGAAGCAGAAGAATAAAAAAGTTCAAGGCCCTTCTGAGCAATATAGAAAATTCAAGACTAGCGTGCCCTGTCCAAGCCAGGCAGTGGTGGCACATGCCTTTAATTCCAGCACTCAGGAGGCAGAGCCAGGTGGATCTCTGTGAGTTTGAGGCCAGCCTGGTCTACAGAGTGAGATCCAGGACAGGCACCAAAATTACACAGAGAAACCCTGTCTCCGAACCCCGCCCCCCCAAAGACCCTGTCCCAAAGCTGTAGGAATGTAACTTAATGGTAGAATGTTTGCTTAGGATAAAAGGCCCTATATTCAATTCCCAATTACCACAACAAATATAAAAATAATAAATAAAAATCACTTACTTTAAAATAATTACAGATTATTTTATATATAGGGGTTCTGTGCATTTATCACCTAGTGTCCTCAGAGCTAGCTTTCCAACAAAAGCTGACATTCATTCAATCCGCAGCATGTTCAAATCTCCATTATACATGTATTGTTTTGTGTTGTTATAGTTTTTAGGCAATTTTATTCCATGTATAGTTTCATATGTTACCATAATCAAGTTACAAAATTCAACCATGAAAAGACAACAAGCAGCTTCTACAGTTTTAATACAACCCAGTATTTACCATTCCTTGTGATTCTCCTTGTCCAATGCACGTAAATGTATCATTCATGTAATTCTAAAAGCCTAAGAGATATGAAGTCTTACCATTCTCATCTTGAAGAAAACAGGCTTAGGGACATTAAATAATTGTCACCAGAAATATTATTTTCACCATTAATCCAGTCAGTAAATACTAGGAATGAGAATCGTTTTTTGTTAGACAGGATTTTATGTAGTTTAGGCTAGCTTCAACTCACTCCATAGCTGAGGTCACTATATCCAGTGGGAAGGGGGTCATCATCATCTTTTTTTTTTTTTTTTTTTTTGAGACAGGGTCTTTCTTAGCCTTGGCTGCCTGGAGGGAAGGGGATCTTAGAGGGGTTCAAACCAGACATATAAGGTGGTACATGCCTTTAATCCTAGTGCTCAGTAAACAGAGGCAGGGGGATTTCTGTGAGTTCCAGTCTAGCCTGGTCTATAGAGTCAGTTCCAGGCTAGTCAGTGATCTGCAATAAATAAACAGCAACATGTACTATACTTGGAGTAGTATTTAAATAATGTTTTGTACCAAAAAGTATAGCTCAGCGGTGGAGGACATGGGTCTCTGGGCTCAATCCCTTCCCATGTGGTTTTTTTGTTCTTAAATTTTTTTCTTTTCTTTTCTTTCTTTTTTTTTTTGGTTTTTTGAGACAGGGTTTCTCTCTGTAACCCTGATAGCCCTGGAATTTACTCTATAGACCAGAAAGTCCACGAACTCACAGAGATCTGCCTGCCTCTACCTCTTGAGTGCTGGGATTAAAGGCGTGTGCTACCAGTCGCCCACGTTTTTAAATTTTTGTAATCAGTACTGTGTGTATGATGTGTGTGAGTTTAGGCAGGCATATGCCACATCTCACATGTGGATGACAGAGAATAACACTGGGAAATAGTTCTCTCCCTTGTCTGTGGATTAAAGGGATCTAACTCAGGTCATCAGTTATGAGGCAACCACTCCCTGAGTTATCTCTCTGCCTTCCTCCATTGTATTTAACCAGTCATTAAATTTCAATCTTGTGATAGAAAATACACACACACACACACACACACACACACACACACACACACTCATATTTATTTCCTTAAGCAGAGGGAACTTATTCTCTAAAAAAAGTAACAAAGATTAAATTATTTAATTTATAGCCAGAGCTACAAAGTGAGAGACTGTTTCAAAAATCAAACCAAACCAAACCAAACCAAACCAAGCTGAACCAAACATTAATTTAAGGACACCAAAAAAAAGAAAAAATTTAAAATCATCACTTATTTTAAAAATAATGTTAGATTTATATAATGTTACAAAGAAATATACAGGGAAGGTCTAGGTACTCTTCACCTAGCCTCCTCTAACGTTACCGTCTTTCCCAACTATAATATAGCATCTATTGAGACAGCTGGCATTCCTATAATCTATTATATTCAAATGAGCCTGGAATATGAGATCTGTCAATACAAGTCAGCAAACAAACAAACAAATAAGACCCTAAACTGAAAAATCTTAAAAAAGCAAACCTACAGAATTAGCCAGTCAAGGCCTTGAAGAAATCTATCTACAGTTCATACTTCTCTATGTCATACTCACATCTAAGATGAATTCTACCCTATTATTCTGGTTTGTTCTGGCCATAAGCTGTATTAATTAGGGTTTATAAAATACGATAAGAGATTACTATACCTTGAAGCAGTTTGTCAAGCTCTTTGGAGCCAGTAGTAATCTGTATGATTTCTGACCGTCTTTGGTGAAATTCAGTTGCAGTGGTGAAACCCATTGGAACTAATTTTGCTGCCTCAGTCTAGGAAAAATAAGAAAAATTAAACCAATAACATGAGACAGGCAAAGAAACCAGTATCTGGAAAAGTAGGGACCCAAAATGCTTTAGACTGTGATTTTTATACATCTTGGAGTACTTGGATACTTTATCAGTTGAATATCCTTCACTTGAAAATCCACTGAATATTCCAAAATCTGAAACTTGAGTGTAAGGTTTTGATAAAAAATTTCAGACTTCTGCATATTTCACCTCTTATTTCACATTAGAGACAGTCAACCTCCATGTACACTAACACAAGCCCAGGTCACGACAGGAAAACATTTGTGTGCTAGGATGACAGGAGGGCAGCACCACAGGAGACTAAAAACAAAAAGAACTGTACATATCCGACTTCTCTATGTTGTGACGATGTAGTATGTCTTTAAGATTTATTTTCGCCGGGCACGCCTCTAATCCCAGCACTCGGGAGGCAGAGGCAGGTAGATCTCTGTGAGTTCGAGGCCAGGCTGGGCTACAGAGTGAGTTCTAGGATAGGCTCCAAAGCTACACAGAGAAATCCTGTCTCGAAAAACCAAAAAAAAAAAAAAAAAAGATTTATTTTCATTTACTATGTATGTATACAGTGTTCTGCCTGCAGATCAGAAGAGGGCATCCGTTGCCATTATAGATGGTTGTGAGCCACCATGTGGATGCTGGGAAATGAACTCTGGACCTCTGAATGAGTAACCAGTGCTCTTAACCTCTGAGCCATCTCTCCGGCCCCAATGTAGTGTCTTTATACCTTACTTCCTGTTTTGTGATCCATTAACATTCTGCCTTGCAAAACAAGGACACATGCTATCCCAGACTTTTCTTGCTTTATGTCTAATTCTTCATCCCTATCAGGTATACATTTTCTGTTTTGGTTTTTCCAGACAAGGTTTCTCTGTGTAGTCCTGGCTGTCCTGGAACTCATTTGTAGACCAGGCTGGTCTCAAACTCAGAGATTCATCTGCCTCTGCTTCCTGAGTGCTGGGATTAAAGGCATGTGCCACTGTACCCAGCTTTGATTCCCTTTTTTCCTTTTCTCTTCCAATACCTCTGTAGACTTATCATCTATTCAGATACCTATAGGTTTTACTTAAATCTGAAAAGGAATCAATCAGTTTGCCTTATTGAGTACAATAAAATAAAATTAACTCTAAAACACCAAGCTCCACTATTAAATTCTCACGTGAATAAAGAGTAGGATTTTGGTGCTGCAGAGATGGCTCAATGGCTAAAAGCACTGACTGCTCTTCCAGAGGACCTGGGTTCAATTCCCAGCACCCACACAGCAGTTCACAACTATCTGTAACTCTAGTTCCAGAGATCTAATGCCTTGCCCTGGCCTCTTGGGCATAGCACAAATGGGGCACATAAACATACACAAGGACAATGTACCTACACAAACATAAAATAATAAAACAAAAATTAAAATAAGGAGTAGGATTTATTTTGGTGTCTTTGGTTTTATACTTGGCAGAGAAGTGCTCTAAAGTATCAGTATTTTCTCACACATCTCCCGAGGCCAAAAAAGGTATATTTGTAGCCCTCATAAAAAAACAAAAAAACAAAACAAAACAAAAAAAAACAAAACACCAGGCATTGTTTGTCATTTCCGATCTGTGTTGGTGCTCATTTGAGAAAATAGTTTTCAAATATTAAAAAAAAAAAGGAAAAAAACAAAACAAAACAAAACCCCACCAGAGAATTTGTCTGTACATGTTTTCTATCTCTTGTTCTAACAAATCTCTTTGCATACTTAGAGGAAGTTGTAAGCTACCTAACATAAGTGCTGGGAACTAAGCTCAGATCCTCTGAAAGATGAGTATATACTCTTAACCACTGAGCCATCTCTCCAGCCCCCAACATGTTTTTTTTTTTTTTTTTTTTTGGTTTTTCGAGACAGGGTTTCCCTGTGTAGCTTTGCACCTTTCCTGGAACTCACTTGGTAGCCCACGCTGGCCTCGAACTCACAAAGATCCGCCTGCCTCTGCCTCCCGAGTGCTGGGATTAAAGGTGTGCGCCACCACCGCCCGGCCTCAAAATGTTTTTTTTAAGACAGGGTCTCTCACTGGGACCTGAGACTTACCAATTAGGATATGCTGGCTGGCCAGTGGACCTTGGGATTACTCATCTCCACTTCCCCAGTGCTGCTGGGATTCAAATGCGTACCACACACATGGCTTTTTGTGTAGTAGAAATTGAAGTCAGGGTCTCATGCTTTCGTGACAGCACTTTAAAAACCAAGCTATCTCGACAGCCCCATACTTGTCAATTTGAAACTTCTCACACACACTAACATTTAAATACATTAGTATTGTTTTTCTCTTTCTTTTTTTCTTCTTTGTTTTTTTGAGACTGGGTTTCTCTGTGTAGCATTGGCTGTCCTGGAACTCACTTTGTAGACCAGGCAGGCCTTAACTTCAGAAATCTACCTTCTTCTGCCTCCCAAACGCTAGGATTAAAGGTGTGTGCCGCCACTGCCCAGCTTATATTATTTTCTAAAGTTTTCTCTATATATTTTATACTTCAGTTGCACATTCCCTAAAGTGTGTACATGTTACTTTGTAAGCATAATTTACTGTACAATTGAGCGGTGTGCTGGAAACAGTTACTTCTCTAAGGCTCCAACATTGTCAATCATTTTCAAGGGTTTCTACTGTCAAAAATCAAGTGAAATGATAACCATTACCAAGTAGAAATTCATATGTCTACAAGCAAAGGTGACAGAAAAATGATACCTAAGTCCACAGTATTTTGCATATCTCAAATCACTTTTTGTGCTACAACTCTTGGCTGATTTCCTTATTTGTTAAACAGAAAATACTGGTTCTGTATTATTTCCTAGTGTCATTAAAAAGGCAAATAAGGATATGAGAGAGAGGATGGGGGTGTGGCTCAGTTGGCAGAGTGCTCACCTAGCATGCATAAGGCCAAGGCTCACTCCAGCACTGCATGAAAATAGGTATGATGGTGTATCCTTGTACTCCCAGAACCAGGGAGGTAGAAACAGGAAGATGAACAGCTCAAAGTTGTTTTTAGTTACCTTGAGTTTGAGGACAGCCTGAGCTACATAAGACCCTGTCTAAATAATAACAGCAGCAGCATCAACAAAAACTTTTAAAAACAATCTGATAGTATATGAAAGCATTAAATACTATTTTAAAACAGGGTTATTGAACTACCACTCCATACACATCTGAGACAGCAATAACATCAGTGGTTCTTATTTTTATGTATTTTTCAAACAGGATCTTGTATATTGCAAACTTCCTCCAACTCACAACTCTTCTGCCTCAGCCTCCTGAATACTGAGGTTATAGGTATTATTTTTTATTGTTTTTTAAGATAAGATTTCCTTCTGTAGCCTAAGCTTGCCTGGAACTATGTTGCCCAGGAGGAATCTGAACTTCAGGCAATCCTCCTGCTTCAGCCTTCTAAGTGTTAATATGTTCCAATAGTCTCAGCTCTATAAAATGACTTGTCATTGTTATAGTTAAAAACAGAAACAAATTGGGTGGTGGTGCACACCTTTAATCCCAGCACTCAGGAGCCAGAGGCAGGTGGATCTCTGAGTTAGAGGCTAGCCTGGGCTACAGAGTGAGTTCCAGGACAGCCAGGGCTACATAGAAACCGTCTTGAAAAACAACAAAAAACCCAAACAATACTCTAAGCACATAGACACTGTCTATGATAAATTAAGTGATAGAGTACACACACTAGAACTTAAAACAGGACTTCAATATTCAAGCAATAAAATAGCTTTTGGGCTTGAAAGGAAAACCTATTTATTATGAAAAATGTAGATATCAGAAAACTGTAAAACAAAACAAAACAAAAAAGGTCACAGACTAGAGAGATGTCTCAGTGGTTAAGAGTACTTGCTGTTCTTGCAGAGGACTAGGTTTAGTTCCCAGCACCCACATGGTGGCTCACAAATGTCTGTAACTCCAGTTCCAGGGGGATCAAACATGCTCTTCTGGCTGCTGCAGGCACCAAGCATACATGTGGTGTACATATACATGTAAATAGATTTTTCTCTGGGCTACTAGCTCACAAGAGACTTATCATTAATTATGACAGCTCAGCCTATTGCTTAGGCTTGTCCCACTAGCTCTTATAGCTTAACCCATTTCCATTCATCTATGTGTTGCCATGTGACTTGTGGCTTTATTTCTCCTCCTGCATGTCTGTTCTCTCTCATTCGGATGGTGACTCCTGGTGTCTCCACACTTCTTCCCAGTGTCCTCTGTGCCTGGGAATCCAGCCTAGGTATTGGCCATTCAGCTTTTTTGTTTGTTTTTTGAGACAGGGTTTCTCTGTGTAGCTTTGCACCTTTCCTGGATCTCACTCTGTAGCCCAGGCTGACCTTGAACTCAAAAAGAGCCGCCTGCCCCTGCCTCCCAAGTGCTGGAATTAAAGGTGTGCACCACCACCGCCCGGCTCAGCTTTTTATTAAACCAATACCACATCTTCATAGTGTATAAAAAGATTATTCTGCAACATATACACTTGCAGGAAAAACACTCATACACATAAAATAGATAAAATAAAAAATGAAATAAAATAAAGGCTGGAGTACAGATCAATAGCAGAGCATGTACTTAAAGCATACAAGAAGTCCTGGGTTCAATTCCCAGCCCAGAGACAAAAATCAAATCAAAACAATGTCCAGCTCATATTCTTACTATGTGGGAATAACAACATTAATAATTTAGTGCATCTATCCCTAGTGCACATTCTATACATGCATACAAAATACACACATTTTAATGGGGCCCTACCCTTGCGCTGGAATTTATATACTGTTAATGATTAATGGGGGAAGAAATGTTTTCTTTGGTGGTGTAGCTGTACTGTGAACAAATGCTCACTATGTTCCTGTAAGCAAACTCACTGAAATTCACTATATCACCTCAACTCCTAAGGCCATAAAAGTACGTTGTTCAGTGGGGAAGAAGAGGATCAAGAGAAGGAAGGAGACAATTGAGGGTGATGGGGTATGATTAAAATATATACATGCTATGACAATGTAATATTATATATAAATATGGGCTAATAAAAGCATTAAAAGATGTATGAATGTATACTGTTAACTTGACTTTTTTATTGTTGTGATTGAACCCAAGGCTCTGAGCATACCAACTTACCACTCTACCACTGAGCTACATTCCCAATGTTCATCTGCCTTTTTTTTTTTTTTTTTTTTTTTTTA